GTACCACTCCATGGCCTTTTTACCGTAATGGCAAGATGCCAAATCCGGCCAAAACAGTACGGAACAACCGTGTTTCTTCAGGAAAGGCAGCAGACGTTTATTCAAACACTCTTTCACGTAAATTTCTTGGTTGACAGTCCCGGAAGCTATGAAAATGCTGCTTTTCAAGCCACAGGTACAGATGGCTTGCCAAACCAGATATTTCTTTGCGAACTTTGACAGTTTCATGTGCTTGAAAACATCTGCTACCTTTCCCCTTCCTTTTGCCGTATAAAACTCCTGTCCCGGAAGCTGCTTGTAGTCGGCTTTGACGTAGGTTTCGTCGTCCATTACCACGCAGTCAAACTTCGTCAGCATCGTCGTGTACAGCCTCCGGGATCGCGCTTTGGCCGTCGTATTTTGTTTATCATCGCGATTTGGAGTCACTACCTTCTTGTAAGTCGATAGTCCGGCTCGTTTTTTGGCTCGATGCACGGTTGTAGACGATACACCCAGCTTATTTGCGGCATCTCGGAGAGAGAGGTTAGGGTTTCGCTTGAAACTACCGGCAACTCTCTTTGTCGTCTCAGCGGCTTCCGGTTTTCGATTTCCCCCCGATCCAGACTTCCTGGCTGTCGACAAACGTTCCCCAAACACTTTAATTACATTTGTAACGGTTGATTTGGCAACTTTTAGCGATTTTGCCAACTTTGCGTGCGAGTAGCTCGGATTTTCGCGATGCGCGAGCAAAATTTTGATACGCTGCTCTTCTTGCTTGGACGGCATTTTGACAACTGAAGAGTGAATTCCAAAATCAAAATAGGAGCAACATTCTACACACACACACCTTCAAAATGAGGGGTGTTCAGGTTTTTTAAATGCAAAATTGAAAGAAATACGTCAAGTTGATATTGACCAAATTTTGACCGTATCACCCTTTATTTGCATAGAATATTCAAAACCTGCCGAGCTTCACAATGTAGGTATTGATTTAAAGGAATTGAATCCCAGATCTCCACGGTGCTGCCTCAGGTGGAACTGTGACGCGGTATATTTCCATCAATCACCGGAACAATATAATAAACTATTAAACTTTTGCTTACCAGATGACAAAGCGAAACCGAAATAAACATGGCGCATGATGAGATTTTTCATCCAAAACGAAGTGCTATCGCAACACTCGATTTTGGATACTTTCAAAGCACGGAGAACGAAACAATTTAAAATCGAGATAAAGAATCCTCAAAAATAAGAGCTCTATCGAGACTGCTGCTTGAGTACAATTAATGTACAGTGAGACGTTATCGCAATACTTAACGCTTAAGTTAAAAGTACTCATCAACACTAGCGTGCACAGGAATCTTGTTAAGAAGGGGCAATTTTTTCAATGGTGCATTCAACTTGGGAGTACTCCAAAGTGCGTGGTGGATGGTGCTATCCACCCACCACTGTTTTCCTACTGTTCCATTTAGCTAATTTTATTTATTTTTTTGCTCTGGTGGTGGTTCATCTTCTTTGGTTGGATTCAGCTGAAGTCAGATGATGGCAATAGCACCGACAAACCGACATGAATGACCAATAATAAGAACCGCATTCTCCTTTCGCATGCAAACTGCGTCGACAAGCACAAGGTTCAAACAGTGCGCATAGCAGTGAACAAACAAAGTTCCTGGTCACTGCGATTGTGTTTGCCCAGCAACTCGGTCCCTGTCTTTCAATTTCTGAACCTTGGAATCGGACAACTTGGATCGTAGTGAAATGTTTGATTGTGTAGAATTAGCTCTGAAAATCCAGAACAACATTGAAAATAGCTTTGAAGCTTCTAAAATTTCTTGGAAGTTACATAAAGTTACAGTCCGAATAATATTTTGATAGAAAAATGTTGTAATAATGTTTTGCGTCATGCTCTTCTTTACAAGTTAAAAATATAAACCAAAGAAAATATATTCTTCAGTTACCTTTCTGAAATATTTTGTAGTACATTTTTGTATATTTTGAAGGCATCGTTTCAGTTTATTTTTTACTATTTAAAGGTTTTGTAAGCCTTATATGCTGTTGTAGTTTCACTTTACTATTACCATTGCAAGTACGTTGAACTGAGTCATTTTAAGCGAAAATTGTAGTTCTTTTTTTTTTTTATTTGACCTAAATGCCAAGGCTAATTGGATCATTAAAAAGATTTAAAAAATATGTAACGATTGGATCAAAAGCGCACAAAACTATTTTGACAAGCGAGTACAGTATTGTTAACGGAATGACGACTTGTGTGAAGGATGTCAACCCTGTCCCAATGTACCGCCAGTCGGGGTGACAAACCCGAGTTTATTGCAACGCACATAGACAGCTGAAACTTTTTAACCACGGTAACAAATGACAACAATAGACCAAGGTTCAATGGAATACTAATACCCACTTTTCAATTATGGAATCCAAAAGCTGTCTTTAAACATTGAACAGTTGCGAAAAAGTCCATCCACGAAAAAGTCCAGTTGCTAAAAATTCCTTGAGGTTCTTTTCGAAATTTTTAGAACTCTATAAGCTCTTTTGAAATTCTTCTCAGAAGTCCACTGGCATTATATTAAAAAAAAAAAATCATGATTTTTCTCAGAACACTTTGGAACTGAAATTCCTTTAGAGTTTCAGAAATTTTTCCTCGAATGAACTAGAAATTATCTTCGGAATTTGTTTGTAATTTTGCTTAAAATCCCTTTGGAATTTCACTCAAAATTTGATTTTAACGGTATTCTTTTCGAAATTTTCTTGGAATTATCTGCAGGATTCACTAGAAATTATTCACAGAATTTTGCATGGAATCATCCCCAGAAATCTTTTATTTTGGAACTGTCCTAAGAATTCAATACCCTTGAGGTTCTTCTCGGAAGTCAAGTTTAAGTTGTCCAATTGTCCATCCATTCACCCAAAACGTTGTAGTTTTTCTACCAGAAATGTTCAATAAAATTTGCCCTTCCATTCACCATAACTGTGCAATTTTTACATCAGGAATTTTCAATTCAGCTTGCCCCTACAAATAGCAGATTGTTGCACCATAAATTTTCAATACAAACTTGCCCCCAGGAGATTTTACACCAGAAAATTTAAATTGACCAGAACAATGTAAATTTTCCACCGTTAATGTTCAATAAAAATTGCTTCTCCAATCTTCTGATTGGTGCTAATTTCCTTTTAACATTTTCCACTAGACATTTTCCATATAGCTTGCTTCTACTATCATCAGAATGTTGCAGGTTTTTCACCAAATAAAGCTGCCTCTATTTTCAGATTTTTTATCATAAATTTTCAGTACAGTAACTTCTCTCCAATTATCAGAATGGTGCAAATTTAACACCAGAAATTATTATCAAAGTTTGTTTTTCTATTCAGCAGAAGGATGCAAATTTAAGATCAAAAATTTTCCGAAAAGCTTGCCCATCCGTTCACCATAACGGTGCAGATTTTCCACCAGAAATTTCCAATACAGCTTAATTTTAAATAAAGCTTGTGCCTTCATTTACCAGACCAGTGCAAGTTTTCAACCAGAAATTTTCTGTTCATTTCATTTATCAGAGCGATACAAATTTAGTACCAGAAATTTTCCATAAAGCATGCTCTTCCAGAAGGGTGCACCAAAAATTGTCAGTGAAGTTTGTGTCGCCATGCACCTTTATGGTGAAATTTTCAGACTTTGAAGACATGCACCAGAATGGTGCAAATTTTCCACCATAAATTTTCAATGAAACTTCCATTCATCAGAACGATGCAAATTATGCACCAGAAAAATGAATGAACCTTGCTTCTACATTCACCACAGTGCACTGCAGTGTTGCGAACTTTCCACCAGAAATTTTCGGTTAAATGTGCACCTCCAAATTTTTAGCGTGGTTGAATTTTTCCACCAGAATTATTCATTTATGTAACATCATAATTTTGTAAGTGTGGTTATATCATAATTTTGTAAGTGTGGAAATAAAATTCTTGTTTATAAAAGGAGGGGCAATTGTCCCACCTTGCCCCACCCTGTGCACGCCAGTGCTCATCAATGAGAACAAAATTATACCCAACACAGTAGTGTTGCGGGAGTACTTATTTTCTAGTACCTTCGATCTCGATTTTGAGTTGTTTCGTCTTTCCGTGTACAATTTGGACTTCTACATCTACACATGTCAGGCAGCCTTCAGGTTCAATTGGCTAAACTTGGTGAGTTCGTTCCATTTTGTAAATTTTTACCTTTTAAACAGGCCCGATGTGTTCTGACTCATCTTGCCCCTTAAATGCTGCACAGTAGGCCTGGCCGTTCTGATATGTGTGACGCATCTCGATGTGAAACATATATCAAATAGACAAGAAAAATGATGTAGGTATAAATATAATTTTCCAGGATGCTTTCAAGAACTGGCTGTGTTGGTGTTAGATTAGATTAGATAAGATTGAGTTCCTAGAATTATGTTACTCAGTTAACAATAGTTGCAATGAGAATTAAATATAGATACATCCATTTTAAAATCTTACATTTTCAATTCTGATTTATTTCTAGTCCAGCATGTTCTTGTTTTTCAATTCTATACCTTCACATGTCCATATCTTTGTATTCATAAAGATCATGATTTTTGTTGATTATGTTAAGTAAAAATAGTGATGTAAAATTGTGCAATAGCAAGTCAGTTGTCAGTTGTCAATGTCCTATTTTTCAGTATAAATTAAAGCATTCCAACTGCGTTCGGAAACCACTGGGATGAGAAATTCAATCCATAAAACGATACGCTCTATTCAGTCCTGGGGGCATGTCGCATGATGCCCTTTCCAATGTTCAACCTTTTACCCGTTTCTTCTGCGAATCCTCCTCCCTCATCAAGCTTAGCAAAAAGCAAAGATCAAGAAGAATATTTTATAAGAAACAAACAACGATATGCTGCTTTCCGAAACGGGAGAAAAACAAATCATAAACAATACATAACCAAAAAAAAAAGAATATTTTGCACTGAAAATCAGAAAAATTATAAAATAAATAACGAAAAAAGCCATGCCTGTTATCATGCACCACAACATTATAATCTGGCGGTGGCGACTCATCGCCACTGTACGATGCCAACCCGCGCAATCCGTGTGTGGTTCCGTTGCGGCCGCTGCTCGCTATCAGGCCGCTGGTGCTCCCGTTGCTGGTGGTCGTGGCCTGGGCGTGCAGCAGCGTCCGATTGACCGTCATCGTGCCGGATGTAATCTGTGCCGACGCCGGTGATGCCGTTGCCGCTCCTGCCGGGAAGAGCGGTGCCGTCTCCGACTTGTCCTCGTACGGGCGTCTGCAGAATGAGAACGATTAAGAATTTGCTAACAGGGCGATAATTCCACCTTTAGACCGCACTTACTTCTTAGTCAGATAGATCCAGGTGTGCGAATCGACGCACACCAGCAGGCTGAGGATGGCAGCCGACACCAAGCTGGCCAGCAGCATCAGCGTCAGCCCAAACAGACCACCCTCGCACAGACCCCGGGTAGCGTTGGCATAGTGCTCCATGACGGCCCGCCGGTCGGCCATGGCCGACAGGGCAATCAGCTGCCGTTTGCTGTCGTCCAGCTCGCCATTCAGTCGATTAATTTTCGAACTCATCTCGAAGCGAGGGTACAGATCGATGGCAATTCGGGTTACCGTATCGAGCGATTCCTTCGCCCGGTCGACGTAGTCTTTGGATTCGTTGAGCCGCAGTACGTACCGGTTGGTGCCAACCGAGCTGCAGTACGTGTACTGGACGTCCTTGAGCTTTTGCTGTGGAATAGAAAGTTAAACAGTTTTTAAAAATATTGATGTCAATGCTTTAAGGAAATCGTCCATCGGACTTTTGATCAACAATCTGCTATAATGCATTCTTGGGAAATGCTCCGCAGCACATTTCTACTGCAATCACTTACAACACCAGAGAGCCATACAAATCGCCATCTGGTATTCTGGGAAATCCCACAACCAGCCACGACGACGACGACGACGACGACGACGTCCCCCTTCTGGTTTTCGTCGTCGTCGTCGGTCGCCCATGTAGTGCACTTTTCTTGTGCATTTTCCTTATCACTTTCTTCTACGAATGAAAAGAATTTCCTAATGGGAGCTGCAGCAGCACCACCAAAGGCCTGCCAGTGCAAGTATGCGGCAATTTCCATTTCTCAACTCCTTGGCTCCACCGCTATGACTATGGGTTGATGACTTTCAAGACGGAAGTGGAACAGAGCGCAAAACACTAAACAAAGAAACCGCATGATTCATCTGCCTTGAATGGATCGAGGGGTGGTCGTCTTCTTGGTGTTACTTTACAGTTTCTTATTTTCGCCACCATGCATCGTTCAAAAAAGTGCAGCAATTATCCAGCCTCCCCAGTGAGTTGGTGCCGGCTGAATAGGCACATTCAAAATCTGTGTCACATTTTTTAATTAAAATCTCCATCTCGTTGGAAATCGCACACTTGAGATAGGAACGGGGAAAAAATTATCCCATTAGCATTTCTACCGGTGGCAAAATATTAATTGGATAATAAAATTGTCGGGCGGTCGGAGGGCAGCGGAAAAAGTTCACCTTGCACCATTCCCTAGATGGTGGCCAGAAAGTTCAAAAGGAAAGTTTTCTATTTCCCAAAGAAAGGACAAAACGATACACGAATGCAAGAACTGAAAATGTTTCTTCCAAAGTTGGATTATGGTATGACTTAAGAGCTTTAGTTTTCCGACCTGGAGGCTTCTGGGAGTTTTATGTGTTACTCCTACTTAAGGGTGACCCAGAGTTACGTTGTGACTCGGATTTATTCACTCGGGCAGTGTTGCTCATTAGTTAAAAACAAAAAACAAAACCTGAATTTAACCTGTTTTACGTATTAAAAAACTTGTTACGGGGGTGGGGGGATACCTTCCTCAAAGTTTTCCTTGCTCGTTTTCTACTCTCTATATACAATTTTCACACTGCCATACTCTAACTGAACTATCAACTCTATAGTTTCATCTCCATATCTATCGTTTAAAAATTACCACTCTAGTCTGTTATTTGAAATTAGCATCTTCAACTATACAAAAAAGTTTGATATTATTACTCTTCGGCTCACTGTTGCCTTAAATTTAAGGTGAAACATCACTATTGTGATCGTAGTAACCCAGTAATTCGCGTCGCTATATGCACTTGTTATTAGTTGCTAAGTTTCTGAATAAAATTTTCATTCCACTGTTCAACGTCAACCGATAAAGACGTGTTTCAATTACTCTCTACAATTGGTTATGGGCCCAGGATACCTAAACGGAAGACTCTAAAATTTCAAGACCAGAAGAAGTATGTCCACAGGCGGAAGTTTAGGATCCGGACAGCAAGGTCAAGGAGATGGAGGCGCCAACGGAAACGGCAGGACTGAAGCTGGAAGCGTTCGAGTCACCAGAAGTTCCGTGGCACTGCCAGCCATTGACAAGCTAAGAGGCCGGGAGAACTACACGACGTGGGCATTTGCGATGCGGATGATCCTAATCCGTGAAGGAAGCTGGTCTGCCATCGACGGAGACGGAGCAGGTGTTCCTGAGGATTTGACGTTGCAGGCTCTGGCTACGATTTGCTTAAGCCTCGAGAGCTACAATTACAGTCTGGTGCAGGATGCGGTTACAGCAAAGGAAGCCTGGACGAAGCTGCAATCTGCATTCCAGGACAGTGGACTAACCAGGAAGATTGGACTGCTCAGAAAATTTACGTCGGTACGGCTGATCAACTGTGCTAGCGTTGAGGCGTACGTGGACGAATTAATGAGCACAAGCCACAAGCTTGCATCCGTGGGCTTTAAGGTGGACGATTCCTGGCTCGCGGCGATGTTGCTGATGGGTCTTCGTGATCAGTACGAGCCCATGATAATGGGACTCGAAGCCTCTGGAGCGGCTTTGACAGCGGATGCAGTGAAATCCAAAATTCTACAGGACGTTAAGCTGGATCGTGATCCGGTCAGCAGCGGCGCAGAAGGTGCCCTGTACAGTAAAGCGAACCGGAAGAAGCCAAGCGAATCCAAGGACGGTAGCAAAGGCGAAAAGTTATGTTACACCTGCAAGAAGCCGGGTCATTTTGCTGCCAAGTGTCCGGAGAAGCAGCAGCAAGCGAAGGCGAGCAAACACAAGGGTCTCTGTTCCATTTTTGCCATGGGAGACGTCAGCACCAGTGAATGGTATTTCGATTCGGGTGCCACTTGCCACATGGCACGGCCGGATCAGAAATTTCTCGATGAAGTCAAGATGGACCACAACGTCGGAACGGCGAACAATGCCACTATGAAGGTCGTAGCGAAGGGTTCAGTCGTGTTGGACAGCAACGATGGTCGAATCGATGTCAGCGGTGTTCTGAAGATTCCCGACCTAGCCACCAACTTGTTATCCGTAAGTACGATCTGCAAAAAGGGCAAAACTGTTATTTTCACCAAAGACAGATGCGAAGTTCGGGACGAAGACGGTGATCTGGTTGTCACCGGCGTCGAGGAAGGTGGCCTCTACAGAGTCAATTGGCCAGAGAAGTCGTTTTTGGCAAGCGGCATGGAGCTCTGGCGTCGACGTCTGGGGCATCTTCACGAAGGTGGTTTGAAGAAGCTCAAGCGAATCGCCAACGGAATAGATTTCCAAGATGGGTCGTTAGAAGGATGTGTTGCCTGTCTGGAGGGCAAGCATACGAGGCGTTCATTCCCAAGCAGCGAGTCAAGAGCTGAAGAACTGTTGGAGTTGGTACACTCCGACCTCTGCGGACCAGTAGAGATTTCGTCGTTGGGTGGAAGCCGTTATTTCATGACGTTCCTGGACGATGCAAGCATGCGGGTGGTGGTTTACTTCTTGAAGCAGAAAAATCAAGCACTCGAAGCGTTCAAGTCGTACAAGGCCAAAGCGGAAAGACAGACGGGCAAGAAGCTAAAAATCTTGCGTTCAGACAACGGAAAGGAGTACGTGAATGCAGATTTCCGGAAGGTGTTGGAGTCCGATGGGATTCGACATCAAACCACGTGCCCGTATACGCCTGAGCAGAACGGGGCGGCAGAGCGCATGAACCGCACGCTGGTTGAAAAGGCGCGGTGCATGCTCAACGATGCGAAGCTGGGAAAAGAGTTTTGGGCAGAAGCTATTTCGACCGCGGCTCACGTGGTGAATCGATGTCCTAGACACGAAAGGTTACCGGGTGTATGATCCAGAGAATGACCGTTTCCACGTTAGCCGAGATGTCATGGTACTGGAAGAAGGCGTCGCTATCTGTATGGCAGAACAACGAGTGCAGCCGGTGGAGTTCATGGAGCTTTGTTCGGATGAAATCCATGATCGTCCTGAGTCCGGTGCAGCTGATACTCCTGAAGATGGGCAACACGCTGTGCTTCCTCTAGGCGAACAACCGAATGGCATCGTCGTACCTGGTGCAGCCGGGCCTGCTGTTGTTATCGATCAACCGGGTGGCAATCCTGGTGAAACCGAAACAACGGAGGAAGACATCGTCGTTGTCGACAGTTCGTCCAGTGAGGCAGACGAATTCGAGGATGCCTGTGCCGATTTTGCGCTCCCACCGCAACTGATTAGACCAGCTGAGTTGCAGCAAGGGTTAAGGCGCAGCGGTCGGGAGCGCCGTAATCCAGGCAAGTATAATGACTTTATTAGTTACGGTTCCTTTTCTGGTGGTGTTCATTACCCTCAGTTATCCTTCAACACGACGAGCGACGATGATACGATGGATGATCCGACGAGCTACGATGAGGTTCTGCGGCGGTCGGACCAAGATCGTTGGATTGCGGCTATGCGTGAGGAAATTGCATCCCTCAGCGAGAATAGCACGTGGGTGCTCACCGATCTGCCTGAAGGGCGGAAAGCGATTCGGAACAAGTGGGTGTACCGAACGAAGCGAGGTCTCGACGGAACCATCCAGAGGTACAAGGCCCGCCTCGTGGTGAAAGGCTGCTCTCAACGACCTGGTCTGGACTACGACGAGGTGTACTCCCCGGTCGTGCGGTACGCGACCGTCCGGTATCTGATGGCACTGGCGGTACGGTACAACTTGGATATTGACCAAATGGACGCGGTCACTGCATTCCTGCAGAGCGAGCTGAAGGACGAGGAGATCTACATGCTCCAGCCAGAAGGGTTCGATGCGTCGAATGGAAAGGTGTGCAGACTGAAGAAGGCCCTCTACGGTCTCAAGCAGTCCAGCCGCGTATGGAACGCGCAGTTGGATGTGGTGCTGCAGGAGTTCGGACTGAAACGGTCGAGCGTGGATCCCTGTTTGTACTGGTGCATCCGTGGAGAAAAGATGATGTTTGTGACTATCTACGTCGACGATCTGAAGCTGAAGGCCCATCTGCACAAGCGGTTCCAAATGAAAGACCTCGGGGAGGCGCAACAATGTCTTGGCATCAGAATCACGAGGAAGCGTGAAGAAGGCAAGCTGTGGTTGGATCAACAAGCCTACATCGAAGACATCGTCAATCGCTTCGGTATGGCCGATGCCCACCCAGTTGCAACACCAGCAGATCCAAGCATCAAGTTGGACAAGTCGATGGCACCGAAGACGAAATCTGAAATGGAAGAAATGAAGTCAGTGCCATACAAGGAAGCAGTCGGGTGTTTGTCGTTTGCAGCTCAAGTCACCCGACCGGATATTGCTTTTGCCGTCAACGTTGTGAGCCAGTACAGTGCCAACCCTGGCCGTCCTCACTGGGAAGCGGTGAAGAGGATAATCCGGTACCTGAAAGGTACAATAACCAAGAAGCTAGAGTACTCGACAAGCGGTCCAGCGGA